CCCCAAAGGAATTTTAAATGAAATTGAATTTCTGGTAGGTTCTCAAATCCAAAGGAAAATGGTGGAATTGATGGAATTTGTAAATTACTTTAGTTGTATAATTATAAGTTTACCAAATTCATCTTCTTCGTTGTTTCGACGACGTAAAATACTCTTTTTGAAAAATATTTTTTTATTTTTACTTTATTCGTGTTTGTTAAAGGTCTATGTCGAGGTTGAGATCGAGTCTATTGAACGGGGTATATAAAATAACTTGTCAAAAATTTATGAATAAATTATTTTTGTTAAATTTTAATATATTTTTTCTTCGTAAATATTTTACGATAAACAAACACTAAAAAAATAAAAAAATATTTTCGTCCAAACAAACAGAGCCAATATAACATAAAATTGCAATTCTAATTAATAAGAATAAAATGCTAAGAAAAATAGTTCCTTTATAAATTAGTTTAGTTGTATAATTATAAATTTACCAAATTGCCCTTCTTTTAAATGTAACATAAAATTGCAATTCTAATTAATAAGAATAAAATGCTAAGAAAAATAGTTCCTTTATAAGGGTACGTGTAAAATATTTTCTTTAAAAAATATTTTATTTTTTAGGTAATAAATATATATATATATAATATAACTTACTAAAAATGATGCGTAAGTTGTTTTATTAAATTTTTTTTTATAAATATTTTACAACAATTTCTGTAAAAAAAAAAATAATTATATTTTACATCCAAATAAAGGAGTATTCAAAGTTCAAGCAAACTCACGTGCACACCCAGAGTTGAACACTCATGACTCATCCTCACCGCTGTTGTGTTATGATTATTATCAAACTTGCTTCTCAAGTGTATTATAATTATTATCTATGTACATCACAACGACTTATGAACTGTTCTATTTATTGCTCCACTATTCCTTTTCTTTTTTTTTTTGGGTCAGTATAATTACTCCACTATTCCTCACCACAAAAAAAATGAAAAAGATCATCTCATGCCATCAAATGGAATGTGAAACATCAAACTTCATTTGAAGTAATGGTTCGGTACAACCACCAAACTATGCACTCTTTTATTGATTCTCTTTAATATAATGAAAGAATTTTACAAGCTCCAGAAACCATCAATTCGCAAACAATGAAATTTCTCAAATATGGTGTTTTCGAAAAAGACCAACCAAAAAAATCAATAAATACAGTAAAAGAAACCATCAGATTCAGAAAAAAACAAGGAAAGATGACGAGTCTGGAGTGACAGAGGACGAGGACGTTGAGGCAGAACGAAGAGTCCTCAAAAACTGGACACGCATACGCCTTGGCATGAAGAGCTGCTCTCTCACCCTTTCCATCACCACCCTGTATTCTTCCAGTAGTTCCACCATCATCCCCACCTTTATCATCCTCTCTCTCTATCTCTATATATATATGTATATATATCTCTCTCTCTAGAACCCTTGAAATATAAAACTTGAATATTGACAGGTGAGTTTGAAGGAGGGGTCGTATTCTCCATTTATAGAGTGTATAGATGGTTGAAGTTTGAGATTTGACCATATGGGTTAGAATTAGAAAACAGTAAAAAAATTGTTTTTATCTGCATGTGTGTAATAATCTCTCTCCATTCATTACAATTCAACAACAAACACGTTTGCTTTTAACCATGCGTGGTTGCGTGATTCGCATGTGTGATTGCGTTAACGTGTTAATGTGTACCTGACGCTGTGAGAGAGGCTTGATTATGGAAAAGTTTTTGACTTTTAGTTCAAAAACTCTGACCACACCGGCCTAACTTTTTTGGAGCCATGTATATGATGTATTGTGCTCACGTCTCCTCTTTGTTTAAATTAGGTGGTTTTGGACTTCGTGTGTATGTTTGGTAGCATTGTAACTTTAAATTTGGGATTAAAGAAAGTTTTTGATGCATCGCAAATATAAGAGAACTTTCTTCAAACAGTTGAACATCCTAACAAGACTAGATTGAGTTTGCATTAATTGAGGCAACATTGTTTATGAATTTTAAGTGATTTAGTTAGGGATAATGCCGAGCTATTTACAGCTAAGTGATAAGTTTATTTTAATGTTTCTCTTAAGTTTTAGTAGGATATTTTTGTCATTTTACTTCTATTTAATGAGTCATGTGCTTGACTATTTAAGAGTTATCTTGTCTGTCTTTTTTTTTAGCTCTTTATTTCGCTGCACGTAATACTAGTCTAAATCTTTGTTAGACATTCCTTATGGTGACCTATAAAAGGGTTATTCCCAGTTGTATTCATTAGTTTTTGACATAGTATCAATACTTTCAGCTTGCGACTGCAGCTTTTTACCTTTCTCTTCCTTTGGGATTGAGTTACGAGTAGGGATAGCAAAATTTCTGACCCCGACAAGGGATTGCCCTGCCCTATTTGGAGATTATTTTGAAAAACCGATTATGTAAATGAAGATGACGACGTGACTGTTTTGAAAAATTCAATGGGTTTTGAGGTGGTTTAGGGAAGGGTTGCCCAGCCCCAAATATTAACATAAATTTATTAAATTATTCTTTAATACTATAATATATTACTAAAAAAGATTAAGTGTAATTATATATATATAAACCTAGCTCTCGTTTCATTTCATATTTTAAATCAACTGCAAGTAGAATTAAATAATCTTGATTAACATTTTGTATTTGTGATCCCATAAATTGACCCATCACATGGATCACAATCTTTTTCAAGTTGAAGTGCCACTGCCGTGAAATACCAAAACTATGTGACATGCCACTGCCGTGATATATATACCAAAACAATGTAACACCCCTTTTTTGGAATGATAAAAATGGCGGCACGCAAGAGTGAAGACTTTGAATAAATGTTACTGTTAGTGTGAACAGTAACATTTATTCAAATATATATATATATATATATATAATATGATAATCTTCCAACTTGTTTTCAAGATTTATGCTTGAGAGCCCAATATCTTAATTAACAAAGCAATGCCCTAATTTAATGGATTCTCCGAATTTGCCACATCAGCATATTTTCATAGTCACGTCAGCGTTTTTCATAATCACATTAGCGTTTAAAAATCTTCAAATTTTAGCTATCGGATGTACTCCAATGGTGCATTTTCACTCTCCTAAAATATTATTTTAATATTTTTAATAAATTTTATTTTTAAACTTTTTCCTAACTGCTATATTTTTAAAACAGCTATATCATAAAAAAAAATTAAACAATAGAATATTAATTATTAAAAACAATATTACGATACGACATAAATTTAAATAATACAATCAAAAAAAGAATTAAAAAAAATAGGATTTTGTGCCAATATAGCCATTAAGGCACTGTTTGGGTCAGCCAAACAGTGCCTAAAACGGCTATATGGCAGTAGGAATAATTTAAAAAGTAAATTTTTTTTTTTTCAAAAAAGCACTTTTATCTATTTTTTTTAAACTTTTTTTTGCCAAAAAAGCTTTTAAAGCACTGTTTGTGTCAGCCAAACAGTGCCTTAATGGCTCTTTGGTTCAATTATTTTAAGGGAAAAAAAAAAGATAAAAAAAAAAGAGAGAGAGAGAGAGACCAAAATCAGCCAAACAGTATTTTGGACTAAAACACTATTTGGGCCAGAATTAAAAAAGAAAAAGAAAACAGATGCGGGCCTGCAATTCTCCAAACCAATCTTGGTTTGTGGTGACTTGGATCAAGATTGTCTGAATGGAGCTCACTTTTTAAAGAGTCCATTGGAACAATCCAGTTTTCAAATTCAGCCTAGAATTGCCGAAAGTATCACCATTGGACTTGCACTAAGCCTCGTCTAAATAAAGTATCAAGCTAGTACAATGGACCATATTAAAAGCTTTTTTTAAACTAATATTCCGCCTAACTGGAAGAGGAACCCTTCCATGCGGCATGAGAGTTCTGTGATGCATTCAGTTCATCAAATGACACTATTTTGATGTCTTTGGATGAGATAGCGAGCCCAACACAAGCATAGTGTTAGACTCCGTGCCAACCCATCAAAATGGCATTAACACGTGTTTGGTGCAATGAATGTGTTACATATTTGCTCTTAATTAATTACGATTGTTTCGTAAATATTTTTTAAAATATTTCTTCTGTCTCAAAAAAAATATCATACTTTTCATTTTGGTCTGTCCCAAAATAATTGTCACTTTCATTTTTCAAATAATATATTTTACATATTTTTATATATGTTTTTGGAGTTTAAAATTTCAAACTTGAATATTTTAAACTTAAAAAAAAAAATTAGTAACTTTTCAGAAAGATAAAACATGTCACATGTTCCTTTAAAAATTCTTACTCTCCAAAAGTGACATTTAAACTAAGACAGAGGGAATGGTTATATATTCAAATTCTAATAAACACAAAGCATCAAGTCAAACATATAATGGATTATTTAACACTACACCCACCCGATTCATACATTCCCAAACTAGTTATATATTCAAATTTCAATAAACACGAAGTATCAAGTCAAACATATGATCAATTATCACTACACCCACATGATTCGTGCAATTTTTTAACTACTCGTATATTCAAAATTCAATAAACACAAAGCATCAATTGAAACATAATGATAAATTATTTAATGCTACACCCACATTATTCATGCATCCTCATCCTCATGAATATCAAATAAGGGCAGCATCGTAAACTAAAACAGGCATATAATCAATTTTTTAAAAATATGGACTGCATAGAATTAAAGCTTTGAAATTGAAATCGATGAAATTTGAGAAATTTTTGGCTCAAAATTGTTTTTTTCAAACTCTATCGATTCCAATTACATGCTAACGCACATATCCTAATAGATAAATTATAGTGTCAGGGTTCAACATCAAATTAAACCAGTACCATTCAACTTCTCCTCTGTGATTTGATCGAGACCCTCTATCATCTCAGCGGTTAAATAGTTTTTCCAATCACCCACTTCACCCTTTCTAAAGAAATTGCTATTCTGAACAGCAATTTGGGGTGAAAATTGTTGCACAGCGCTTTTATTCATCTCCAAATTGCTCAAATTCTCGAAACTGCATAGCTTTATAATTTCCTCCACAACCCCTCCCCTCTCTTCTTCCAAGGAAAAAAGGGTGTCCTAAGAACTCAGCCAATCTCTTGACATGAACAAAAGGTTCAATCTTCATGTCCTCATATGTTAGGAAAAGCACTTTCTCTGGTGAGACCCTGCTTGCATTCCAATTTCCCAACACATGATCCCAAAATGGTCCAAACTGTGTCACCCCTTGACGGAACAACTTGAATGCTTCTTGAATTGATAAACTTGGCAACTCAGGTCTCAATTTTTTCAAAAAGAACCAGTTTGAGACAAAAACATCTTTCGGGTTCCGGAAAAATGTAAATGATCTTGCAGCCTGAAGAGGTTATGGACACCGGCAACAAGGCGTAGGGGATGTGGGTTGCGAAGAGCCGGGGTGGAAGAAGGTGATCTTGGTTGTTTTCAGTGATCATCATCAACTCTAAGAAGGGAATACAATGATGTGGACCATTGGTGAGTAAAGGGTGTTTGGGGAAACTGAAATTGGTTCTATTCATGATTGCGAAAACAAGTGCCTTGAACCACGTTGTGCCTGATTTGGGGAAGGTGGCTAAAAGGGTGTCAGTGGGTTGAGCCTTGAAGTGTTGTTGGACCGCCATGACTCCTTTTAGGGTAGCCGTTGAATTTAGCCAAACACCTTGGTACTTGACAAGCTGCTTTGTGAACCAATCTCCCTCTTTGGGAGGAGTACTCTCGACTATTTCTCTATGTTTCTCCAATGTTTTGTTGTAATCATCAGTTTTTTCTTCATCCTTCTTGTTGATGGGGTTGGAAATGAAACTTTGCTGAGAATGTTGGTTGAAAGATGCCATGGGGAAGGAAGAAGAAATTGAGAGTTGAAAATGGATTTTACTTGCCATTAGAGTAAACTCTCTTTTCATATTTATAATGAGGGTGACCATTGACCAATTCACTTATTTTGAATCAAAATTTTTGATATGTATATTTTTTTAAATGGAGTATCACTAAACATCAACCAATACAGGACTTCCCATATGAAAGGAAGTATTTATATTATTAGTGTGTCTGTGTATATATATATTTAAAAAAATTACATATAAAAAATGCATATGTTTGTTTTATTTGACGAGATATCTTTTTCCAATAACGAATATTGATCTGTGACCCTATCACATATATGCAACCCGTGGGATACATTATTAATAGAGAGACAGTTGTATGAAAAATAATTGTTTGATCGTGAAATGCCGTGGGATGCAACAGATGGGGCTTGCATATGATTGGTCTGGTATTCCTGCTGAAATTCTGGACCTATATAGCGTAAATCGTGTGTGTGTTATATATGCTTCTTTCTCTAGTCTAATATTTGATATATACAATGAGATCTTATTCAAAAGAGATAGTCCTTAGTTACTCATTGGTGAGTAGCTTTACCCTATTCACCCCTCATGTGTTTCAATAACAGTATACCACATCAGCTTTAATAAAAATGTTATTTAATAGATGATCCGAGAAAATACAGGAGAACTTGGGTTATTTGGTTATTAAAACTGATGTGCTATGTTGTTATAGGAACACATGAGAGGAGTGGGTAGGGTGAAACTACTCACTGGTAGCTATTGGTGGGTGACTATATATTCAAAAGTATGTTAATTATTGGTGGGTGACTATATATTTTATATATAAGAAGCCACCTCATTCCGGCCCCCTTATGCCTTCATTGATTAATATTGTAATCTCCTTCCTGCTGCATTGACGTCAATAACTTCTGCTTAGTTTTATCTTTAATCACGTATGTTATATATATATGTATAGTTTTTGGCCGAAAATTTTCTCCATATTGCTTTTATTTTTCCTCTTTCTATTGTTTTTGCTCGCCTCCATACCAGTCTCCTTGTATGCATCTCTTGTACCATACATTATACACATTCAGGTATACAATATATATATATATATATATATATATATTTACAGACACACATTTATACAGGGGAAGCTCCAAGATTATACACCCAATTAAGATCTCAATTAACAAAGCAATGCCCCCAAGATTTTGCAGAACATGTGACTTGTCTAAATAAAGCATGAAGCTAGTACAATTGATCATATTGAAAGCCTTTTCTAGTCAATATTAGGGAAGCTCTTAACGGGAAAAGTATTCCCCCGTGCGGAGTGATCCTGTAGTGCATCAAATTACATCATTTAATTTGGTGCCTTTTGGTGAGTTGATGTACATGCACCATTTTTTTTTTAAAGACGAGAATGTTACGGTATGGTAGTTATAGGGGGGTGGGGGCGTGTGTAACATAGGGATGACAAAATATCCCGGGTATCCGTGCAATCCCACCCCGTTTAGAACAATTATATAGATGGTTAAATGATTTTGGAAAAGGATGTGAGTTAATATTGAAAACCTGCATGATTGTGGGGGTGGGAATGGGGAAAGGTCACCTATCCCATCCCATTTATAATGATAAATTATAATTTTGTCTTTATACTTTATTTTATATTCAATAACATTAAGTATATAATAAGCAAATCCTAATTTATTCTATTCCAATAATTAAATGTTCTTTTATATTATTCTTATTTGAGAATTTCTATGTATTATTTTGATATTCCAACAATAATTTTAGTCTTACTTTATTTTATATTCAATAATATTATGTATTATTTTGATGTTCCAACAATTGAAAAGTTAAATATTGTTTTTATCTACCATAATAGAAAAATATTATTATCATAGTTGAGAAATTGTTTTATTATTTACTTTCATTAGATTCATACTACATTAATTACGAAAATACCATATAAAATCTGTCCCCACCTGCCCGCCCCATTTAATAAATGGTTTTGGCCGAGGGATGGGAGTAGCTATTCTAAACGGAGATGGGGATGGCCTTCTCTGCCCAAAATCGCTCAATTACCATCCCTAGGTGCAAGGCTTGAATACGAATTTTGAAAACAAGTCAAACAATCCAACCACTCAGACAACACGACACTTGATTGAATGTACCACTTATCCCCTTTCTTGTGATCAACAATGATTTTTTATTTTTATTTTTTATTTTTATTTTTTTTTTAATAAAAAAAACTAGTTATATATTCAAATTTCAATAAACACAAAGCATCACATGAAACATATGATCAATTATCTAAACACCACAGGTCCACACCCACATGATTCATGCATATTCTAACTAGATATATTCAAATTTCAACTAACGCAAAGCATCAATTGAGACATATGATAAATTATTTAATACTACACCCACATGATTCAAGCATCCCCATGATTATCAAACAAGCTAGGGCAGCATAAACTAGAATAGGCATATAATCAACTTCTCAAAAACATAAATGGATAAACGTCAAATTAAACAAGTACCATTGAACTTCTCTGTGATTTGATCGAGACCCTCTATCATCTCAGCGGTTAAATAGTTTTTCCAATCACCCACTTCGCCCTTTCTGAAGAAATTGCTATTCTGAACGGCAAATTGGGGTGAAAAATGTTGCACACCACTTTTATTCACCTCCAAATTGCTCAAACTCTCGAAACTGCATAGCTTTATAATTTCCTCCACAACCCCTCCTCTCTTCTTCCAAGGACAAAGGGTGTCCCAAGAACTCAGCCAATCTCTTGACATGAACAAAAGGTTCAATCTTCATGTCCTCATATGTTAGGAAAAGCACTCTCTCTGGTGAGACTATGCTTGCATTCCAATATCCCAACACATGATCCCAAAATGGTCCAAAATGTGACACCCCTTGACAGAACAACTTGAATGCCTCTTCAAGTGAAAAATTTGGCAACTCCTTAGGTCCCAGTTTTTTTAAATAGAACCAGTTTGAGACAAACACATCTTTCGGGTTCCGGAAAATGTAAATGATCTTGCAGCCTGGAGAGGTTATGGACACCGGCAACAAGGCGTAGGGGATGTGGGTTGCAAAGAGCCGGGGTGGAAGAAGGTGGTCTTGGTTGTTTCGAGTGATCGTCTCTAAGAAGGGAATACAATGATGTGGACCATTGGTTAGTAAAGGGTGTTTGGAGAAACTGAAACAGGTTCTATTCATGATTGTGAAAACAAGGGCTTTCAACCATGTAGTGCCTGATTTGGGGAAGGTGGCTAAGAGGATGTCAGTGGGTTGAGCCTTGGAAGTGTTGTTGAACCAGCATGACTCCTTTTAGGCCACCAACTGGACTTAACCAAACACCTTGGTACTTGACAAGACACTCTGTCATCCAACCTCTCTCTTTGGGAAGAGACTCTACCATTTCTCTATGTTTCTTCAATGTTTTGTTGCAGTTATCGGTGTCTTCTTCATCCTTGTTGTTGATGGGGTTGGAAATGGAACTTTGTTGAGAATGCTTGTTGAAAGATGCCATGGGAAGGCTAGGAAGAAGGTAATGAGAGTTGAAAATGGCTTTGCTTGTTATTAGATCGAGTACACTCTCTTTTTATATGTACAATGAGGGTCTCCTATTCACTAATTTTGAGTTTTGTTTAAACAATGGATTACCACGGAGGACAATGCTTAGTTGTTCATTGGTAAGTAGGGTGAAACTACTCATTCTTGTGTGGTCCAATAATTATATATAGTGTTTTTAAGTGTGAATTATTTTATTATTAAATGTGATGTGTTATTTTATTATTAAATGTGATGTGTTATTTTATTATTGAATCATGTAATGATGAGCAACTCCATCCTATTTATCATTGAGCAGCTAAACATTATTGTATAAAAAAAAAAAAATACATAATATTATCCTGTTTGACAAGACGTTTTTTTCCAATTGCGAATATTGATCTACCATCTTATCACATGCAATCTGTGGGATGCAGTCGAGGGACATCTGTATAAAAAATAGTTTGGTCAAGAAATATCCCGGATGGAGTCCTAACAAACACACAAATACTTCTAGAACAGTAATCCATTCGTATCGATAAGTGTTAAATATCCATACTTAGAGATATGTATTCAATACTAATTCTTAAAGGTATTTATAATTTTAAAATATATTTTTTAATTTCTAATATGTATTCGATACTTCTTAATACTTTTTAAATATTTTGACTACGTATTTGACACTTTTTAAATAATACATAATATATTTTTAACAAATTTAAACATTAAAATGTAACTTTTTCAATAATAATAATATAGTATAATTGTTTAAAAAATTCAAATTTTATTAAGTGATACTGGATATGTTTGTTTTATGTGTTGTGAACAGAACTTTTATATTAGATTAATAATTATATTTAGATTTATAATATTTTACAAAAATAACCAAATATATATATATATATATATATATATATATATATATATATATATATATATATCATACCTGTATTTCGTTATCGTCATAGAACAGATGGGCTTGCATGTGATGGATCCAGTATTTCGGCTGAATTTATGGGCATGACTCTTTGCATGTCAAACAAATGTTTCTTTCTCTAGTCTAATATTTGATATATACAGTAAGGTCTTATTCAAAAGTATGTTAATTATTATTTATCTTAAATTATTAGACTTGTTTATTAATTACCAAATATATATTATAGGACCTTATAGTCCTTTTTTATTTCAATTGTCTCCACTAATTATTTTTTTCCTTCCCTTTTTTTCTTTATTTTCTTCTTCTTCTTCTTTTTTTTTTTTTTTTTTTTTTTTTCTAAATTGTTCCCATTAGCCTTTTTTCCGTCCTTCCTTTCATTTTTATTTTTTTCATTTTTTGCCATTAGCCCCTTTTAATATATATAAACTGAAAAAAAAAAAATGAAAAGAAAGACGAAAAAAAAGGCTAATAGCAACAATTTAGGAAAAAAACAAAAAGGGAAAT